CTCCACCTCTCTCTCGCTCCTCTCTCTCGCTCTTCCTGCTGCCTATGAATCAGGATGTGAAGTTCTCAGCTATTGCTCTAGTGCCATGCCTGCCTGCCTTCATGTTGCCATTATAATCATGGACTAACCCTCTAAAGCTGTAAACAAACTGCCAATTAAATGTTTTTTTTTTTAAATAAGAGTTTCCTTGGTCATGATGTCTCTTCAAAGCAATAGAACAGTAACTGAGACACCACTTCTTGACCATTCTTCATGTCTGTTAAATTGATGAATTAAACATCCTTATTTCTTAAGTAGCTGGTGCCTTACTATAAAGAAGGGCATGACAAATCCAGATCTAAAGTACATGGTCCTCATAGCCAGTGACCATCTCTTATTTTCCACTGAAAATTGTAAATTCTTTTCCAGGTCCTCCTTATAGTAGCTGTGATGGACCATGGAGGTGTTGAACCTATGGATGCTTGGCTCAATATGATGCTGCTAGAAGCTCTGCAAGGAGCTCAGTGACAGAAGGCAGAAGGAATGGCTGCATCACTCAAGTCTCCTTTCTGTACAGTCTTGCTATCCAAACTTTTGTTTTATATGACAGGGACTCCTTAGCTTGGGTTGGCATCAGACTTTTTTTTTTAAGAACAGTATTGTTCTTTTTTTTTTTTAGATTCTATTTTTTTGATTTATTATGTATACAGTCTTCTGCCTGCACACCAGCAGAGGGCAGCAGATCTCATTCAAGGTGGTTGTGAGCCACCATGTGGTTGCCGGGAATTGAACTCAGGGCCTCTGGAAGAACAGTCAGTGCTCTTAACTGCTGAGCCATCTCTCTGGCCCCCAGACATTATAAAGCCAGGAATGACTGAGCTGGTGATTGTCTGGCCTCCACTTCCCCAGTGCTGGCATTACAGGTATGTGCCACCACATCTGCCTGCTCAATGCCAGAAACTCTGGGAATAGAACCTAGGGCCTCTTGCATGCTAGGCAAACACCACGCCTATCACTGTACCAACTGAGCTACATCCCCAGTCTTTTGCCCCAAATTCCATTTTCCTGCCTCATCCTTCTACATGCTGGGATAACTGTTGATTTGTTTTGTGATTTGAGAAGCTTCTCAGATGATGCTGACAGGCAGACAGGGGAAAAAGTTACACATAGAACAGAGGTCAAGATACACAAGCAGGGAAGCAGTATAGGACAAACAGAGAATGTGGCTAGAGAGGGAAATTGCTAAGCTAAGGTTGAGAGAGGGCAGTGGTTTGGTAGAGTGAAATTGACACACCCTACCTCTGGCTGGAGAAATGCCTCAGCAGTGGCTGTTCTTCCAGAGGAACTGGGCTCAATTCCCAGTACCAAGATGGCAGCTCACAACTGTAACTCCAGTTCTACAGGTTCAGACACGCTCACCCAGATACACATGCATGCAAAACACCGATGCACATAAAAAATAAATAAATCATTTTTTAAAAGGGGGGAGCAAAAACAAAACAAATCCTATCTTAGAAAACTACAAAACTGGCCGGGCATTGGTGGCGATTGCCTTTAATCCCAGCACTCGGGAGGCAGAGGCCAGGCGGATCTCTGTGAGTTCGAGGCCAGCCTGGTCTCCAGAGCGAGTGCCAGGATAGGCTCCAAAGCTACACAGAGAAACCCTGTCTCGAAAAACAAAAAAGAAAAAAAGAAAGAAAAGAAAAATACAAAACTGAAGAAAACTTACAGCCACTCAGGGTTTAGAAAGATTATGTGTTGAAAGCCTGTTTAGCCTACAGAGTTAGTCCCAGACATCTTTGGCTGTGTGGTGAGGCCCTGTCTCAAAAAACAAAACAAGAAGATATGGAGATGGCTCACTGGATAAAAGCACTTGCCACTCTAGTGTGTGGGACCTCAGAACCCACATAAAAGAGTGTAAGAGCCAGGCGTTGGTGGCACATGCTTTTAAACCCAGCACTTGGGAGTCAGAGGCAGACAGATCTCTGTGAGTTTGAGTCCAGCCTGGTCTACAAGAGCTTGTTCCAGGACAGGCTTCAAAACTACGTGGGGGGGGCTGGATAGGGGCTGGAGAGGTGGAACAATGGTTAAGAGCACTCACTGTTCTTCTAGAGGACCCGGGTTCAATTCCCGGCACCCACATGGCAGCTTATAACTGTAACTCCAGTTCTAGGGGATCTAACACCTTTATACCAATGCACATCAAATAAAGTTAAACAAATTATTTTTAAAAAACTACACAGGGAAACCCTGTCTTGAAAAAACAAAACAAAGCAAAATAAAACAAAAAAATATAAAAATCTCCAGAACCCACAAAAAACTGGATATAAAGCACAAATATCTGTGACCCTCAATACCCCTACAGGGAAGTGGGAAGCAGAGAATCTCCAGATGCTGCAAAGAGACCATCTCAAAGTGGAAGGTGGGAGCCAACAGCCTAGGTTGTTCTCAGATCTCCACATGTGAGTTGTGGCAGGTGTGTGTTCACACATACACATGAATATGTGTATATGAACATATGTACACAGACACACACATGCACACACAGAGAAAAAATGACCGACCCAGTAGCCCTTTGTAAGCTGAATCACAGCACTGGAACAATTGCACAAGTGTTTAGTCAGGAGAAGCTTTGGACCTGCAGGTAAGAACTGTAACATTCTTGCCTGGGGCTGTTTAACTTTACCCCACCCTGGTCAACAGGGTTAGTGTACCAAGAAAGATGAGGCAAAATGTACAAAATAAGAGTTCTACTGCCAGAGGGGACTCACCTCTAGAAGAACCTCATGAGATAGCTTCTCACCCACTAGATGACTTTCAAAAAGATGGACAGTAGCAAATCTGCAATGACATAGTAAGACTGGAACCTTCCACGAGGGAATATCAAATGGCATAGCCACAGTGTAGACAGTTTGGCAGTTTCTTTACAAAGTTAAACATAAACCCACAAGTCAGTAATTCTACTATGTACTGCTCAAAAGAATTGGAAGCATGCCCATGCAAATACTTGTGTACAAATATTCATAGCAGCATTACTCATTATAACTGGTAATTGGAAGCCATCCAGATTCCTTCAGATAGATGATCAGTGGATAAGATGTATCTCCATATACTGGAACATTATTAAGCCATAAAAAGGGATAAAGTACTCATATAAGCTTCAGCAGGAACAAGTCAAAAAACATCCAAACCAAAAGAAATCAGATACTGCAAGTCACCAGGTAACCACTATATTCCACTACTAAAAGGGAAATTGCATAGTTAAATTAGTAGAGCCAAAGACAAACAAAACATGATTTGAAGGTCAATCAGCTTCCAGAACCAGAGCAGCCAATGACTTGATCAGACAACGTAGAAAACCAAGTGAGACATCACAAAAGCAACTAAATTGGTTATAGTTTAATCGACCAGTCAATTTGGCTACAAGTTTTTGTTGTTTGTTTGTTTGTTTGTTTGTTTGTTTGGATTTGGTTTTTCTAGACAGGGTGTCTCTGTGTTGCCCTACCCTGGCTGTCCTGGAACTCACTCTGTAGACCAGGCTGGCCTTGAGTTCACAGAGATCCACCTGACTTTGCCTCCCAAGTGCTGGGATTAAAGGCTTGTACCACCATTGCACATCAGTTACTATTTTTTGCTTTTCTTTTTTTAAGTTAGTATGAATGTTTGTGTTATATATATGTGCACCATCTGTGTGTCTGATACTCAGAGGCCAGAATAGTTTATGATCCTTAGAGCAAGAGTTAGGAACAGGTGTGAGCTGCCATGTGGGTGCTGGGAACGGAACCCAGGTTCTCTGCAGGAGAAGCCACTGAGTGCTTTTTAACCACTGAGCCATCTCTTCAGCCCCTGGTTACAGTTTTGACTAGCTAATCTGTAGCTTAGTTCACAGGCCACAAGGCCTTTTGCAACCAATCTGAACTCAGTTACTGTGATAACACTGTCAGTTTGGTCTGCTGAGCCCCAAGCAGATGCCCACTCCAAATCTGTGGCCTATTACAAAATATGATACAGAGAGAGAGACACATTTTGTTTGTCTGGATGTTGACTGACAGTGAGCACTAAGGAATTTATTGGTGGTACATGTATTGTATATATTTAGTGAAAGTAATCGCTCTTATAATGGGTAACCTTTATAGTGTATAAATTATATCTCAGTAAAGATTGTAGTCCTAACTAGAGTTGACTGAGGCTGGGTTAAAGATCACTTGATATCAGGAGTTCAGAGGCAGCCTGGGCAACATAGTAAGACACCAACCCTAAAATAAAACATCATAAAACCATGTGATGATGAGGTAGGGGGATTCAATTCTTACACGGGCACTTCTGTGTTCTACATTGTGACAAGGATTCTACGTGTGTGTGTTAATATCTCAACACAAGGAGGTTAATGGCCTCTTTGTTCCTAATTGATTCCATTAGCCCAGATGGTACCCAGAGGAGCAGAGAACTGACATTGGCAGATACTAACCAGACAGCTCCAAGAAGTCCAGCAGTCCAGACATAGTACTGAGAAGTGCAAAGAGTGATGAGAGAGACAGTGGATCTCAGAAGAGCACCTGGCCACCTAGCTCCTGAATGACTGACTGGCTGTCTTTGATACCCTTCCTTACACCCCACTATAAAACTGGCAGGCTAATATAGTGTCGACATGGTTTCTCTAGAGTACTAAACTGGCAGTACCCTTCTCAGATCATGACACTCTGAATAAAACACAACTGAATCCAATCTCTGGGCTAGAAAGGTAGCTCAGTTAGTATAGTGCTTGCCTAGTATGCATGAAAACCTAGGTTCAATCCCCAGCACTGGATAAAACTGGGAGAGGGATACTCACTTGCAATCCCAGCACTCAGAATTTGAAGGCAGGAAGTCAGAAGTTCAAGATCATTCTTAGCTACATAGGGAATTTAAGGCCAGCTTGGAGATACATGACAACTGACCCTGTCTCAAAAAATAGAAAAGATCAGTTCCTAAATCTGCTCATTGGTCTTTGTGATATTTATAGTTACAGGAAGCATGAGGGCCAGCATTCTGGTTATAGACCTAGATTTTTTTAAAAAAGTATTTATCTAGCCATGCTTCAGTGGCACATGCATTTAATCCCAGCACTAGGAAGACAGAAGCAGGCTGATCTCAGTGAGTTTGAGGCCAGCCTGGCCTACAAAGTAAGTTCCAGGACAGTCAGAGAAACCCTGTCTCAAAAAACAAAAAAACAAAAACAAACAACAACAAAAAAAAACAGTATTTTTGTGACATGGTCTTTTTAAATTTCTCGGGGCAGTCCTACACTCAGGAAGTCCTCCTGAGTCTGCTTTAGCCTCCTGGGGTAACTGAAGGTACAGGTTCATACCACTCACAACTGGCTGAGAACATAAGTTTTTATCATTTTTTATTTGCTCCCCCCATTATTCATTATTTGAGTGTGTGTGTGTGTGTGTGTGTGTGTGTGTGTGTGTGTGTGTACCACTTCACACATGTCAAGGTCAGAGGACAATGTCATGAGACCCCCATAATGTGGGATCCGAGGGATTAAACTCAAGTCATCAGGCTGGGCTACAGGAGCACTTCCCTGCTGAGCCATTTCATCACCCACCCCTTTTTGTTGTAGTCTGGTAGTTTTGAGACAAGATCTTACTATGTAGCCCTGACTGGCATCCTCTGTGGTAATCTGACTCTGTCTCCCGAATACTGGGAATCCAATCCTGTGTCACAGCAGCTGGTTTACATTTTCTCATTTATTTTAATATTGAGACAAGGTCCTCCTATACTGTGTAGGCTGGTCTCAGACTCTTGGACTGAAGTGACCATTGAACCTCAGTCTTCCACCTGCTGGGATTATAATTATGTACCAGTCTATGCTCTAGAACACACATTTTTAGGGCTAGAGACAGCTTAGCAGTAGGAGCACTGCTTGCCGGGTGACAATGGGCTAAGGCTGATGATCTAGGTTCAAGCCCTGGAACCCACATGATACAAGGAAAGAACTGACTCCTACATAATTGCCCTCTGATTTTCATGCATGCTTTATGGCACAACAATGAATGTACACACCTACACAGACACAATGTGTTATTTTTTAAAAAAAATCAACTAAGAGCCAGACCCCATATACTACACAGTTGTCTGCCATCTCTCTGGAATGTGTCCTAAGATATTCCTCAGATGCCTGGAACCTAAGATACTGCTGAGCCTTTTGTATTCATTTTTGCTAAGCTCATACATTACTCAGGGTAAGTTAATTTATGGACATAATAAGAGCTTAGCAGCAATAGCTAATAATAGGATAATTGTAACTATACTATAATAAAAGTTATTTAAAACTTGGTTATTTTTATTTCTGGAATTTTCCATTTACTAATTTTGGAGTGAGGTCAATCGAGGTAGCTGAAATCTTAGCAGAACCTTGGGTAAGGAAAGGCTACTGATGATTCCATGTTTACAAAGCTCTGCAAAAGACAGGCCTTACAGGCCAGCTTTCCTGATCCTGGAATGGGTGAAGTTTAGTAAGAACTGTTTGGTTCCTACCTCAGAGTTCTACAGCCTTTGACTTCCTGGGACTGGAGCTCCCCCTCACCCATCCACCCAAAGCTACATTTAAACTTTCTACAAAGCAATTTCTACAAAATTGATTGACACTTCTGTGATTGTGCAGAGCTGGTGTTTCCCAGGTGGGGAGCCAAGTTCTCTTGGGATAGCTTTGGCTCTTCTTTTTCTTCTTCTTCTTCTTCTTCTCTGTGTAGCTTTGGAACCTATCCTGGCACTCACTCTGGAGACCAGGCTGGCCTCAAACTCACAAAGATCCGCCTGCCTCTGCCTCCCAAGTGCTGGGATTAAATGTGTGTGCCACCAATGCCTGGCTAGCTTCGACTCTTTAAATAAGCCATGCATCACCCACCTCTCTGTGCAACCTAATGTCCTTATAAATATCGAGTCAATCCTTTTAGAATGTACCAGCAAGACCCCTATCTTCCCTAACAATGCCATCAGATAATATCTGAAGCCTAGAGAAGAGGCTTCTTCAAGCTACTGTAATCTTTCTGCTTGATGTTTCTACCCGTATATATCTTGATTTATGGGTTTGTTGTTGTTGTTGTTGTTTGTTCTGTTACTATAAAGCCTTCAGCAAATAGTTAGGTTGGGGTAACCTAAATCTGTGTCCCTGGGCCATGGTTACTCATTTGTCCCCAGAATCAACTTATTCCCTTTTAGGTAAGAGATGTATTTTTGAGTTTTGAGTCATATCTTTTTACTTCACAGAGCCCCTTTCATCCATTCTAAAGTTTGTGTGGGTTAGATGAGTACTGGTGAACTCTACACGGCTTCAACATGAGGGCTGGTGGCCAAATGGACCATCCATGTAAGCACTTCTTACAAGTTTCTACTGGTTACTCCGGGAGAGAAGAAAGGTCTTGGAGACTGAGTTCCTATAGCTAGTATTTTAATCAGTGATTTTTAATTTTATTATTATTTTTTTTTTGGTTTATCGAGACAGGGTTTCTCTGTGGCTTTGGAGGCTGTCCTGGAACTAGCTGTTGTAGGCCAGGCTGGTCTCGAACTCACAGAGATCCGCCTGCCTCTGCCTCCCGAGTGCTGGGACTAAAGTCGTGCCCCACCACTACCCGGCAATCAGTGATTCTTATAAAATGAAACCTCCATGCACCTC